CTGCACGCTCAGTTAAAGGGCTCCACAGCGCTTTCTGCCAGAGTGGTGGTGCAGAGGTACCCCTTTTTCCCATCAATGTTTTATGTAACCATTTTTTTTTTTTAAATCGATACTAAGAAGTGAAAGATCGATATTATATTGGGCAGCCGAATATCACAATATATTGCAAAAACGATTATTTCCCACACCCCTAGTACTAGAGTTCATTTTCTGTCCAATTTGTCCACTGTATGTAACTTCAGCAGATGTTACGATCTAACATTCTCTCTGTACTTAACCAATTTTCATGTATTTGTATTAAAAACTTACTGACGTGGCAATAAAACATCTCCAACAAGTTATATGTTGCTTTATGAAAAATAGTTTGTTGTAGCAAAAGCCTTTAATGAGAATAAAAATGAGAATGTATCCACATGCATTTCATGTTGAGAAACTATACATTTAGACAAGCTTCTATACGGCAACCCTCTCAGGAATATTATACAAGAGCATTAGGATAAGTGTGCTGCGCATTTGACACTGTGTGAAATGGCATTTTGCAGTAAAGTCCTCTCATCTTCTACTTCAAGCAGATTAAAGCAACAAGGATTTATTAGGAGGCAGCACAGAGGCGGATTTCTCCAGGAAACAAACTTCCATGCTTTAGCCCACAGTTTCTTTCTGTTTAATCATATAATAGAATCAGTACAGGCACATACCTGACTGACGGCATACGCAGATGAATAAAAGAAGAAAATTCCCAAAATAAGACTTTACTTTTATTTTACAATTGTCCGACATCTCAAAGCTTTATTTAAATATTTTAATTTCCTTCAATAGACGCTTTAACAGGGGGACTACTTTTGTAACTATTGACTGAATGAGTGTTTACTCATCTGCTTATCTGTCCTTTGTATGACTCTAGTGGAATTTGATTCATTTTGTGACCTGCCAAAAAAAAACTGAGATGAGAATTAGATATTAGAGATATAATCTGGTAACATTTACATCTTTGTAGTGAACTATGTCTCTTTTTAAATCAAATTTTGTAACCGTTAGTATAACAAACAGAAAGACATTTTCTCCTACAGCATCTATACATTCTGTGCTTTAATTATAGAGCAAATAAAAAAGTTAAAGTAAAAAATAAAAAAAAATCAGTATTTTAAATGAATGAAAATAAAAAAGCAAGAACTCCAATCTGAAGATTCATTACTTTAAAAATGTCTTGTGGGGCTACATGAACACACCACAGTAGCAAAAGAAAGCCCATCAGACAGAAAGTTTTTTCTCTCTCTCGCTCTTCTAAATCATTGAAAAACTGCCTCTGAAATAATCTGTGCCAACTGCATGTTGTTTTTGGTTTCGTAAAATAAATAAAATAAAATTTTTGAATGAGAGCAAACTCCACCAACCTAAGATTAGAACATTCTCACATTAACCTGGACCAAACCTGGACGGTGAATATGCTCCTAAAAGCCTGGTTAACTTTTAATAGTTAGAAAAGACTTGGAAAAACTATTCAATTCATATTATAAAATAAAGCATAAAAAAAGCATAAAAACAAAAGCCTTTGAAGTCAATCTATTACACTTTTTTCTAATGGGTAGAAAAATATCAACACAGCCAAGCATGGAGATGAAAATTACGGAAGAGGATTAGGGCCACTGGGGGAAAAAAAAAAAAAGTTAACTGATTTTTAAATTTTATTTCAGTTTAACATGGGAAAAAAAGTCAGAATTCTGACTTTTTTTCCACAGAATTCTGACTTTTTTCTCAGAATTCTGACTTTTTTTCTCAGAATTTTGAATTTAATCTCAGGATTCTGACTTTTTTTATGTACCCGAGGGGTCCCCTCATTAATGGAGGAGAAGAAGGTCATTAGACAAAAGAGCTAGTCTCTAAAACAGACATGGCTATGGCTTGATAGCTGTCAGAATTCTGAGAAAAAAGTCAGAAATCTGAGAAAAAAGTCAGAAATCTGAGAAAAAAGTCAGAAATTTGAGATAAAAGTCAGAAATCTGAGAAAAAAGTCAGAAATCTGAGAAAAAAGTCAGAATTCTGACTTTTTTCCCCAAAATAAACTGAAATAAAATTAAAAAATCAGTTAACTTTTTTTTTTTCCAGTGGCCCTAATCCTCTTCCGTAGAAAATATTAGGCTTTGGCTTGTTTCGTTTTTTTTAACCATAGTATTACAGAAAGAGTTTTCTTTATTGAGGGACCGACTAGAACAAGAACCCTTTTCCTCTCTGGATTTTTTTCTCAACTGCCATATTTGGTTCACTGTAACCAAACCAGTCGGTTTCCCCTTTAGTTCGGAGCGAGACTTGTTTTTTTAGGTGGTCGTGGTCCGCTTTCAAACGGACTCCAATCCAGTTCGCTTCAGGTGTGAATACAAATCGGCCTAAGTCTGACCCAAAATGCAGAAAACATACATTCCTTTGCAGTTAGCAAGCCACTTGTCTCCTCTGTTGCTTAACATCACTGCTGCCAGCAGGCGGTGGATCTCCCTCTGCTTAAAGGTTGCATCCTCTAACATTATCAAAATTAGAAAGTTCCAAAATTTACTTTGACACTTTGTTCTAGACATTTGCAATGATATTCTAGCTGTAAGAATTGCATATATTTGCAAAACAGAGGTGCTGCATGAAGGAACACATAGTTTTCCTCCATTTCTGGGTCACTGCTCTGTCCTTCCAAAGTCTTTTCTGATGGATAGCATTAACAGTCATCACAGAAGTTTATTGACAATTTAAGTCTGTATTCATAGCACAGTTTTCTGCTTGCTTCCCTGGTATGAGCACAGACCCTTAATCTAATCTCAAAACAAGGCTAATGGATGGGCCTTTAGGATGACAACGTCCCAAAACATACAAAAAAACTATATAACACAGATTGGCTGAAAAAGAAACATATTAGGACAGTTTCTAAACCTCAGAAATGGTTGTGGGTCTGTGTAGGCAGGGTAAAGTTTTGCATGCTAATTGGGTACAAAGAATTATGAAGGATTTCATGGAGTTTGTGTAGTGAGAATTAGGTGATACCACCAATGTAAGATTTGTTAAAAAAATACTTAGAAAATGGCAGTTTAAACATCAAGTCATGCATTGATTTTCATTCAAATGCTTATTTTTTTGTGTTTCTATTTTAAACTTCATATAATTCTTTATTTTGGATTTGGATGTACATCATAAATAACAAACATTAAAAAAATTCCTACACAACTACAATTTCTTTATATGTGAACTAATGTATTAAACTCTTAGGAGACTAAAGAGTTTTAAATAGAAAAGTAGTAAAATGCGTCATAAAAGGAAAAAGTAGAACTATGTCAGGATAATCCATGCAAGCTATGCAGAGCTGCAGCTAAGTCCAGGATATTCTTCCACTGAATTCTGATGTCTAAATGCAACAGCAGTAACCAGATGCCCATCTTTAATTAGGATACCTGGGCAGTTAAAAAGCAAATTCTATTTTTTTCTTTTTTAGAAAGAACAAAATCCCCTTTTATAACATATAAACATGTGAAAGATGACATCTAACTTGGCATCTAACTCTGTACATATACTAAGATATATATACTCTGAGTATTTGCACAGAGTATATGGTGTATGAAGAGTACATATACTCTGTACATATTAGGGCAGGGTATTTTTTCGCCAAAGTCCTGAATCGATTCGGTTTTGATTCATACTGTTCTAAATCGATTAATTTTGCTTCGATCTGTTTTTACAATAATGAAAGTGGTTCAGCTGTGTTTCAAAATACGCATGTATTTAGTTTTTTCCTGTCACATTAAACACAAAGTGCAAACTTGTAAATCGGATAGTTCAAAGTTGAGATGTGAACAAAACTGTCTCATAAGTGCAAACTTGTTTGTGAAAAGTGAAAAAGTGAAGCCTCACTCGAGCAAGCAGATGTGACACAGCAGACATTCATGAGCTGCATAATCTTCACTGCACAAACCATATTTGCAGCGTTGTCTGTAACAACTACAGGGTGTTTGCTGGTCAGCCTCCATTTGTTAATATCTTCAGTCAACCTATTTGCAGCCGTCTGGCTTGAAGTAATCTTGAATGCATCTTTCCTGCTCATTTGAATGTGAATGTCACACGGGTCACTATAAAATGAATCGATCTCATTCCCTAGACATCGATTTTGCAAAAACGTAAAGAAATCGATTCAAAATCGATTAAATCCATTTTTTTTACCCAGCCCTAGTACATGTAGTGAAATACAGTCAGAAGTTAAAAAGAGCCCGAGCTCAGCATTAGATGATCTAAAGATAATATCAGTTTCTAAATTTTTTATTAAATTAAATCCACTATTTTCATATTTGTAATTTTCAAATCACAGCAGCACTCACTCTTTGGTTATTTTACATTTAAAGAGAGTAAGTAGTGTTGTAGTCAAGACCACACCAACCATGACCTTATAGATCTTGGTCTGGACCCTTAAAGATCTCCTTGGTCTCGGTTGATGTCGTCTTGCCTACAACACTACAAGTACGACACCAGCTTCCTTCCTCTAGCTGTTTAGGTGGTGATAATATTCCTAAAATGGGTTGCTGCTACACACAAGAGAAGTGAGTAGTAGCTACTCTGCAGATCGATGCGTATGAGCAAGCAGTAAAGAGTTTTCCAAGCAGCAGGACAGTCTTGTAACAATGGAATCTGGATAAGAAAGCATTTAAGACATAAAAACAATAAAACCCTTGGGGATAGTTCAGAGCAGAATTGGAATCAAGTTGCAACCAAAATGTTTGTTGGTGAAAAAAAAAAAAAAAAGGCATTTTTTATTTGTGGTAAAAGTGCAGACCCCTACTAGTAAACATAGGAATAAAAACAGCAGTGACACAGGAGATGGCAGCAGTAGAAAAAAAACAACTCTAACTTGGAATTTCAGATTTTTTGATACTTTAACAGATAGCTTTCATCATGCAGAACTTCATAAAAACACAAAAGTATTTTTACTTACCCAGATTACTTTCATTGATTGTATCTGTGGAAAGAGAAACCAAGGTTTTATCAATATTCATGATCAACAGAGTCGGAATGTCTGGGCATACTTGAACTGTGAGACTATACAATTAGTCATCAGTAATGTTATGTCTATGTGCCGGGAAACGTTCTGACAAGCAGGGACCTGCTCTGAAAAAAGTGACGGGTATGCAAACTGAGCACAGATCAGATCCCACTGATGCAAGCATTAATGTTACTCTGGGGGCATCCCCAATGTTGGTCGCTCTCCGGAATACAAGAAACACCAACGTTTTATTATTTCCCACCAAATCGCATTGTTGGAATCAATGTTCAGAAAATTGAAAGGTGACCAAGCATACCGTGTTTTTTTGTTTGTTTTTTTGTTAGTATATACCGTTAAAGTAGTTACTACCATTTTCTTTACTGGAAAGACAAAAACTAACCTACACTTTCACTCACAACATGCTGCTGTGTTGGGACTGATTGGGGTAAATAAATAAACAGTCAAGAAGTAAATAGAGTAGCTTCCCTAGTGTGCCCCCACACCACCACCACACAAACACTCTTTCTGCTATATTTAGGGAGGACCATGTGTTGACTTCCATTGTCTTCCATTAATTTTCAAGCCTTTCTATGCCCTAACCCTAAAACTGACCCTAAACCTAACCATTATCAATGCATACCTCACCTTAACCCAAACCAATTGACACCTTAGCCATAAACCTAACTATCAGCAAAAATTTAGCTTGTGAGGACCAGCAAAATGTCCGAACTCCAACACCCCCCCCCCACACACACACAAACAAATAACATTAGGTCAAATGGACTTTGCCAACACATACATGCTTCTATTTCTACTATGATTGGGTGAGCCGGGCAACAATAAGCTCAGACAGAACGTCCTTAAAAACATCTGGGTCAGACATCTGCAATTTCCTCCATCTTTATAATCTTAAAGCCTTCTTAAATAAAGAACTGACAGAATCAAATTGATGATTAATTATTGCTGAAGTAGCGTGGCGGAGAAGAGATGGGTAACGTGTACGTTGGGAGTGAAAATCTTCATGCAGAGATTTTCAACAACCTTTAAAAAGTAAAATAAGTTTAAAAGTAGAAAAACAGAGGAATTCCTTAAATAAGGTATTCTTAACCTTAAGGAGTGATTTCTTTTTTTATTGTTGTGGCAAGCATAGAAGACTTTTTAAATAGGAATAAAAATGCAATCCAAAAATAAAACTTAAAAAAAAGCATTAATGGTACGGTAGTGACCGATCCAGCTATGGTCCTGCCGTGGCCGTTAGTGGTTAGAGTCCTGACCTTTTGACCTTTGAAAGGACATGAAGTGGGATTAAGAGAAAGGGGGAGGACATGTGGAAAACACCACAATAATAAAGACCACCAGAGCCTTAAAATCACACAAAAAATACAAACATCAAAACTTTTAATAAAAAAAAGTTACTCAGTTTTCTCAGATTAAATTTATCTTTTTCATTTTCAAATAAGGTTTCGAAATTATTTTTTTTTTTCAATTTTCTTTCATATTTTTTCAATTATTTCCTTTCACAGATTTACTTTATTGTTTAATTTTTAAAGAATTTCTATTACATAAACTAAGTTATAAAACATAAGTTTTTTTAACAAGCATAATATCTGAGAAAACTGCAAAGTTGGTCTTAATTTACTTTTATTAAAAACCTTTTTTTAATTTCTGGAGTGCATTTTTTGCACATTTTCATTTACAAAACTAATCAAATAAAGTTCACTCCATTGAACAGCTGCTGTTCCTATTCTGGACCAATCAAAATCGTGACAAAATAATTATTTTCTTAAAATGCCGAGGCCACGACAAAAGCAGCAACAACATGTGTGAATTGTTAACAATTTTTAAAAGATGCCTTACAAACGACACCACAACTGCCTTAGCTGACTTATCCGATTTATCTAAAGGCCCCGTAACCCCTGCCTTCCTCATCAGCAGCTCAGTGAAATTCTCCTGACATCCTCACACCGAGCGCCGTGAGCGAGGCAGCCCTACACGGCAAAAAAACCGTGACATCACTCAAACAAGAGCTTAATAAAAATAGGCCACAGCTGTTTGGATCTTTAGGCTACAAATTAGACTCAATATGTCAGCCGTGATCACATCACAGGAAGGAGAGTGAGAAAGCCTTCTCCATCGGAATGGGCTGCTGTTGCCGCTTTCCACACGCTTCCGTTCTCTGCGCCGTTTTCCACACATGCATGTAGCGCTCATGCTAATTGGTGTTAGACGAAGAACTAACGACAGAGGGTGCATTGGTGAGGAATGGATGAATTATGGAAGGATTTAAATAATAAATAGGCCCTTTTTTACAACCGTACAAAGAGCGGTAAAAGGGAGGAGGGGTATTAAGGGAGATGGTGGGATGCTTTGTGGAAAACATAATCTCAAAACAGAACTGGGGCAAATGAATTATACCCAGCTAGGGCCATTATTGCTCATCAAAGCATCACATGAATTATTTCATCTGCAGGAGCCTTTATAGATGCATGTTTAGCTCTGCTACAGTTCCGTCTGAACAGAAAAAAACAGAAGGAGTGAGTGATGCTTTTTCTTCTGCACATATGGAAATAGAGATGAAACACCTGGGAGAAATCTCAGCTTTCAACACAGAGACATTCAGTCTCAACAAAGAAAACAGCTCCTGAAGTCGTTAAATGATGCACACACTGCACCAATAAAACAGACAGAAAACCTAATATAAATAAATGCAATGATCTTCTTATATAATTGCACAATATACGTCAGACCATATACCGATCTAAAAATACGGAAAAATAAACAACACTCAATGATAAGCAAATTTGGCTTATCTATTTATTTGGTCACTTATACAATAATTAATATCTATTTTTCTTCTTTTTTTCTGATCACTTTTTTCTGACCCTGAGCAAATGCAGTGGGCAAATGAACTTGTCGCTAAGCAGTATTCTCCAATAAGACAGGGGGCAGTACACTAGATAAACCATAGAAATGTACTAAACTATAAAGGAAATGCTTAGTTTCATGAAAAAAAAAAAAATAGACGTGTTCACTAAGGATGCAACTAGCAGTCCAATTTATGTTATTGCTGATTTATATATTTATACATATACACTGCTCAAAAAATGAAAGGAACACTTTGAAAACACATCACATCTCCATGGGGGGAAAAAATGATGTGTTAGGAACAAAACGATGCCACATCATTTGATGGAAATGAAAATTATCAACCTACAGAGGGCTGAATTCAAAGCCACCCCAAAAATTACAGTGAGAAAAATGATGCGGCAGGCTAGTCCATTTTGCTGAAACGGCATTGCAGCAACTCAAAATGGTTTTCAGTAATCTGTATGGCCCCCACGTCCTTGTATGCATGCCTGACAACGTCGGGGCATGCTCCTAATGAGACGACGGATGGCGTCCTGGGGTATATCTGCTCCCAGATCTGGACCAGGGCATCACTGACCTCCTGGACAGGCTGAGGTGCAACCTGGCGGCGTCGGACGGATCGAGACATAATGTCCCAGAGTTGTTCTATTGCATTTAGGTCAGGCAAGCGTGGGGGCCAATCAATGGTATCAATTCCTTCATCCTCCAGGAACTGTCTGCATACTCTTGCACATGAGGCCGGGCATTGTCGTCACCAGGAGGAACCCAGGACCCACTGCACCAGCATAGGGTCTGACAATGGGTGCAAGGATTTCATCCCGATACCTAATGGCAGTCAGGGTGCCGTTGTCTAGCCTATATATATATATATATATATATGTGCGTCCCTCCATGGATATGCTTCCCCAGACCATCACTGACCCACCACCAAACCGGTCGTGCTGAACGATGTTACAGGCAGCATAACGTTCTCCACCGCTTCTCCAGACCCTTTCACGTCTGTCACATGTGCTCAGGGTGAACCTGCTCTCATATGTGAACAGCACAGGGCGGCAGTGGCGGACTTGCCAATTCCGGTGTTCTGTGGCAAATGCTAATCGAGCTCCATGCTGCCGAGCAGTGAGCAAAGAGTCCACTAGAGGACGTCGGGTCCTCAGGACACCCTCCTGAAGTCCGTTTCTAATTTTTTGGTCAGAGACATTCACACCAGTGGCCTGCTGGAGGTCATTTTGTAGGGCTCTGGCAGTGCTCCTCCTTGCACAAAGGATCAGATACCGGTCCTGCTGATGGGTTGTAGACCTTCTACGGCCCTGTCCAGCTCTCCTGGAGTAACTGTCTGTCTCCTGGAATCTCCTCCATGCTCTTGAGATTGTGCTGGGAGACACAGCGAACCTTCTGGCAATGGCACGTATTGATGTGCCATCCTGGAGGAGTTGGACTGCCTGTGCAACCTCTGTAGGGTCCAGGTAGCGCCTCATGCTAACAGTAGTGACAGTGACCCTAGCCAACTTAATGCTATACTCTGATTACGAAGTGTTGATCTGGTTGAACTATAAAGTGCCTTGAGATAACGTGCTATATAAATAAAGTGAATTGAATTGATGGTGTCCAGATGGATATGCGGAGCAAATCCATCTGGCGGAGTCAGGTTAGGTCGTTAGAGTCTTATCGTCCCTCATTACCCCCTGTATAATACACAACGAACAATCAGGCTGAAGGTCAGACCCATCAAAAAATTCTTGCACGACTGGAGAATCGGACTGAAAAGGGCAAAAAAATCGTACAGTGTAGGGGCTGTTTCACAGGCAGCTGCCTTGTCCTGAAAGCCCTGCATCCAGTCAGGGCAAAGAGAGCAGAACGGAGACCTGCTGCCTTTTCCCACAGTTAAAACATGCGCAAGTACAACATGAGCAAAGATGACGTTTATTCAGCCCTGCATTACAAAAGCAGGAATGCAAATACAACAAAAAATATATTCATATATTTCCTTTTTTCTTTCCTCCGAAACTATTGCACCAAAAAATAATTACCTGATTATCAAATAACTTAAATCGCTTCTAACCTCCTAATGTGCATGCCTCTAAATTCGCTCTTTTTGGGAAAATCAG